GGCAGGAAGGGATAGAGCAGGGCTAAAGTAGCCCACAAGTCCTAGAACCCCGACTGGAGCTGTCTTTCCTGCTCTGTGTCTTCGTCTTAAATTGATGCTCTTGGCTGTGGCAAGCAGTGGGAAGGGACAGAAGGACAGTCTGGGCCTTTCCCATGGCGGAGATACTGGTTGAGCATGCCTCAAAGACCCAGGGAAACATTAACGCTCTTTTAATGAGCATGTTGGGCATGTCAGTGCCTTGGGTTCCTTTGTTAATGTGGAGACTACAAATAGATTCTAGCTATCAGTTGCAGCGCCCAAAGTCCACCTATACAGTAGAGGCAGGGGTTCAAGGATGAATCAGATGCACAGAAAGCCCAGAGGATCACAACAAGTCCGGAAATGACAACAGAGATGGGATGGGGTGGGTAGACCTTGATTTTCCATCTTCTCAACCCTGTCTCCTAATTTTTCTGACTTTGTTTCCCAGTCCAGACTGCTTTGTGCTCATTTTGACTCAGAAAGGGAGAAGGCACACCAAATAGTGCAGTGCAATCCGAATTTGTTACGTCTAGAACATGTCAGAATATGAATATTTAGTGGCAGTTTTGGTCTAGGAAATAAAAAGCACCATAGAATAAAGCGCAAGATAAATTGAAATGAATATTGTTTTGTTCTAAAATTACTGTAAATTCCTGAATAGATAGATAGATAGGCATGAGTGACACCTCCACACATGTATTTTTTTTTTTTTTTTTTTTTGTCTTTTTCATTTTTATCGGTACCAGGGATCGAACTCACAACCACCTGCTTGCAAGGCAGGTGCTTATGCTGCTGAGCTAAATCCCCAGCCCTCACACATGTATTTCTAAATCCTACACTTCATTCACTGATACCCATTTCTACCTGTTCCATAAATCCTTCCCTGTGTAATCTTTTCCTGAACTTTTTGTTTCTCTCTTTTTGAGCTAGGATCTCACTATGCAGTTCAGGCTGACCTTGAACTTACTTTGTAGCCCAGACTGGTCACAAACTTGCGAGGATCCTCCTGCCTCAGCCGCCTGAGTGCTGGTTACAGGAATGCACCTCCTGTACTATTCTTAGCTCCAAGTTTCTGAAGTATGTAGATCTGTAACATGAACTTTTCTCCTCAGTTAAAATGCGAACTCCACTTAATTGCCATCCTGCATGATAGCTGGCACACAGTAGTTAGGTACCTAAGCCAGCGACATTCAAGGAAGATGCCACAGGGACATGTGGATCCGGTTCAGGCCTGAATCCAGCTGCAGAGGTGGCCCACAGTGACACTAAGTCACTCCTAGGATTGCCTTCCATGAATTTAACTGAGTTTCAAAACCTTGATATTTTTCAAGGGATGCAACAATTACCTGCTATGTTTGCTATTAAAAAAAACAGTTGTAGGAAGACACTATCACAGCACTCAGGTCCCTTTATATAAAGCCACACATATTTTAAAAATAATTCTGTGCACCCCAACGCCCTGTTTCCACTGAGTATGTTGTGTGTCTGGGCCAAGAGCACTGTCTGCCGCTCTCTTTCCATTGAGAGACCACTGGTCTGGCTGGGTTTCCTCTTTCTCCTGACGGTCACAAGGGTCAGAGACGTTCGAGGCTGGATCACACACATAGTTGTTATGTATGTTGATATATGCATTTTCCTTGTACGGGGTTTCTTTCTTATGTATTGTTAATATCTTATTATGTCATGTCTGATGGGGGTTTCTTTTTTTTTTTTATTGGTACCGGGGATCAAACTCACAACTGCCTGCTTGCAAGGCAGGCACTTATGCCGCTGAGCTAGATCCCCAGCCTCACGATGGGGTTTCTTTCTTATGTTTTATTAGTTAGTATCATATCATATCTTATGTCTTATGGTGGCCCCACCTACTTACTAGTTGCTATTTTAAAACTTTTTCCTTCTTTTTTTCTCTTTGTGCAGGGCCAGAGATTGAACCTAAGGCTTCATGCATGCTAGGCATGTGTTCTATCACTGAGCTAATCTAACCCCAGCCCTTAAAGTTTTTTTCTAGTAACAAAAGTATTTAAAATCATGATGAATTTTGGAAAGTAGAAAAAAAAAAAAAGAAATCACCAGTACTTTATAACACATCAATTTAGGTGTACAATATGCCCTTGTGTATCACTGAAAACTACTGAATACAAAGGTCTGGAAGTAACAGTGATGTAAGTGATTCTTGCATGTGGAAGAAATCCTGAGACAGGTGATCTAGGTCTAATATGTCAGGAACACAGGTTACTGTCTTTCTGTTCTGCTGTCATCTTTTTGGGGCTCCTTGGACACTCATTGCCCAAGGTGGCTGTCAGAATTGCACCCATGTTGTCTGCATTCCAAGGAGGCAGGAAGGGAAGAGGGAAGACAGAGGATCAACTCTCTGCCTTTTGAGGAGCCTTCCTAGAGATCACACTGTTATGGCTTAGTTCTAAAATGTTCCCCAGAAGCCTCATGTTCACAAGTGGGGCTTTGGGAGGTGATTGGATCATAAGGGCACCAGCCTCATCAAAGGGCCAATCCATTGATGAGTTCACAGCAGAGGGCTGTGGGCAGGTGGGGCCCTGGTGGAGTAGGTCACTGGGGGTGTGCCTTGAGGGGTGTATCTTTTCTTTTGCTCTCTTCCTGCCCACTGCATGTCTCCGCTGTCATGAGGTAAGCAGCTTTTCTCCACCAGGTTCTTCTGCTAGGATCTTTGTACCTTGGAGCCAGCCAACCAGGAGTCAAACCTCTGAAACTGTGAGACAAAATAAATCCTTCCTCCTCTTAAGTTAACTTTTGTAGGTTTTTAGGCACAGAGACAAAAGGCTGACTAATAGACCAACCCTTCCAAAATTAGCCAGAATTTAGTTCCCTGGACTCAACTAGATGCAAAGGAAGCTGGATTATGATGGTTTTTGCACATTACCAGGTTCTGTTACTAAGGATGAAGGGGAGACATTCTTGGAATCAGCAGTCAGTTACATTTCCAAGTCTTTCTCTGTATCTATCTTATCTATGTGTAGTATTTATTGAAGCCATCTCAAATAGTTAATGGGAAGAGCTAAGAGTATAAGTAGACTTCAATCAGAAGTTAAATATCAGTCAACAAAAGGTACTACGTTTTGTTATCCTATAAGCTTTACCACTCTGTCCTTCCCCCTTTTTCTGTGAATTTTCACTTAATAACATTTTTAAAAAATATTTGATCAATGTAAACATCTCTAGAGCTAGAAGGAACCTTAATTTTCTCTAAAAGTTGCATATCCAATGCTTACAGGGCCCATTCAGGTACTAAAAACAGTTCAGGTGGGCCAGGAGCCAGGGTTGAAGATGATCAGGGGTCCAGGGCCAGTGCTGAGGACCGCAGAGAGCCTCTACCTTACCTTAAGGGCCAGCGCAGCTCAGGACTGTTCTTTGTTACCGTGTGGGAATGCTGGCTCCATCTTGCCAAATCTTAGACTTTTTATTTGAAGTGAAACCAAAACTCTAGATTTTTATCTCAACTCTCCCAGTGTTTATAACTTGACAAGTCGATAATTTGGTATAACCTACCAGTCCATGGACTGCCAGGTTGGGATCTCAGGTCTGCCCCAGGCCTGTTTCTCTGCCAGCAAGCGAACCTAGTCCTGTGGCTGGAGACCCTACTCAGAAATATTTTTCTTGTGAGGAGATCATAAGAATGCAAAGCTGAGCAGGACTACTGGGAAGGTTAACTGAGATTCTGCTTTGACTGACATTTTCTTCTTTATTCTGCTGTGGTGGGATCAGGAAAAAAACAAAAACAAAAAAACCCAAAAAACAAAACCAAGGCTTGAATCTCAGCTCAGATTTTACAGTAATACTTACCAAGCCATTAAGTTTTTTGTTTGTTTGCTTCTGTCTCTTTCTTGCTTTCATGTAGCATAGCACAGTGGTTCAAAGCATAGTCTCTGGAACCAGGGATAGATCGTGGCTTTTCTACTTATCGCCTCGAGCAAATACTTAAAACTTCTTAGGCCTCAGTTTTCTCATCTGTAAAATAGGGTAGTAATCCTATCTATCTGACTGGGCATGGGAAGGATTAAGACTTAGTATGCATGAATTATGAAGAACAGCTCAAAGACAGCATTACGTACACATTGGTTGTCTCCCCACGTTCTTGTTTTGGCTTCCCCTGCTGCCTAGGAATCTATACATTATTATTATTTTTTTTTTTAGCACTCATGGGCTAAGGACTCTGGTTCCTCACCCCACAATGAGCGCTTGCTTCCAGCACCCTTTGGCAGCCAGCCTCTGGGACCCCTGTCCAGGCTCAAAGCTGGAGGTGCTGAAGCCCTGTGCCTGTTGCTTTCAGCTTGGTCTTGAGCTCAGTTCTGGTATATCGTTTCTGAGTCCATCTCTGTTTTACTTTTCTCGGCTCACGTTTTTCCTGCCAAGGCCACATGTTGGGGAGCGAAGGATGCGTCCGCCGGCTGTGCTGTCTTGGCTGAGCCTCACTCAGGTGTTACATAGATACCTGCTGCCTGCGCTACTGTGCACTGCTGCAGGGCACATTAGGAGGTGGGGCATAAAAGGTTGGCTTTAGCCAGGACAGCGAGCCCTGCAGATACCTTGTCCTGGAAGCCGTGGAGAGCCTGCCACACAGGGCTTTCCCCAGCAGGGGTCAAAGTAACCAAATGACCACAAGGACGGCGCATGTGCTAAAGGAATTGCGGGACGTGGTAGTGCACAGTCGGGATCCCAGTACTCAGGAGGCTGAGGCGGGAGGATTGTGAGTCAGCCTGGACTATGTAGTGAGAACTGCTTCAAAACAAAAGAGTTGTCTTTTTCCCTCATGACATTACATGTAGAAAAATTTAGAGTGTTTTTATTTCAACTGAACAGTTATTTTCTCATTCTTTAAATTATCACCCTTGGGTCAGGGATTTGACTCAGCATAAGTGCCTGCCTGGCAAGCATAAGGTCCTGAGTTCAATTTCTGGTCCTAAAAAATAAAAATATCACCCTCCAATCTTTTTTTCATCTTTTAGGTTAATTTGAATAAGAGATCTGATCTGACCAGCCCCAGTGTACAACTCTTCAAGGAAAATTAATATTTGCCCTGAGAGGAACAAGTGACATAGGTATGTTTTGCTAAAACTCGCACTTTTCCTGTTTCTCTCTGCCTCCTTACATGTTAGTATGCATGGAGTAGAAGTGGGAAGGAGAGGTTTCTTTTTAATTCCATAAAAGTTACTACTCTAGGCCAGTGTGCACTGGTAACCCGACCCCTTGCGTTACCCCATCACTGGGCAGTATGTCTTCTGTGCTAGAGATGGAACCCAGAGCCCACAGGCCGGGCAAAGACCCTACTGCTGAGCCACACCCCACACCCTGTGTTACTCTGTTCCCCTTCCAACAAAGAATACAAGGAATAACTTCTCTTCCAGATCCATATTCCCAACACATAGAGAAACTTTGTAATGTCTGGTAGGTTTTTATTGTAGGCCTTCCACTTCCTAGATTTAAAAGCCATAATTAACCAGCCGCTGTCTCCCCTTGGGTATTTGTTGAGCATGAGTCTAACTGGCTTAGGTGACAGGGCTCCAGCAGGGTGAAGGATGGGGTCTGCAGGGTGATCCATCGAGCATCTTCGAGTGCAGTGCTGTGTAGTTTTTTAAGCAATAGGCCTGTTGAGATCTGATTAATGCTGTGGAGCCTCTTCCCCAGAAAACTGCACATGTGCACAAGCTATAATGTTTGATTTCAGGGAGTTTCAGCACCCTAGAATCCCACGGGATCCACAGCCTTCAGATTAAGAATTCTTGTCTTGGAGGTTTATAGACAGCTTCTAGGAGGACCTGACTGACCCTAGAAGTGGAATGAAATGAAGACTTTTAAAAATCTGCTCAACAAGTCTAATGTTGATGCAGTTGAGAGGGCACCCCGAGATCTAGCCTTGATGCAAAATTGTGTCATGGAGGTTTTAAAAAATAACTTTGATTAGGCATGATGGCAAACACCAGGGAATCCCAGGATTGCAAGTTACGACTTATCTAAGCAATTTAGCAAGACCCAGTCTCAAATTTTTAAAAAAGAGCTGAGGATGTAGCTCAATATGAAGGCACCGGCTTTAATCCCCAGTGCCACTAAAAACAAACAAACAAAGCAAAGGACTTTTCTTACCCTGATGGAGGAAGTGTACTTAAACAACTGTGATCACTGATTTTCTTTCCTCAGTGAGTTGAGAACCCTTGCCAGAGATGATCTGCAGTATTTTTAGAACATGTATTTGCTAAAGTTGCCTTGATTTTAGAAATGGGTTCCTGAGGCCTCTCTGGACCTGCCTTAGGTCTTAGGAGCACTGGGTCATCTACACCCCACTTGCTTTTTGGAGATTGTTTGCCCTGTCTGTTTGGTCTCCATCCTTGGCTACCGGAGTTCTCATAACAACTCATTTTCACAAAGGCTACTTGGGATCATTCCAGGGGAAGCAGTTGCCATAGATACCTGGCCTGTAGGAGTTACCATTTTCTTCTTTTTTTATCTTCCTCCTCCTTCTCTTCCCCTTTCTCTTCTTGTTCCTCTCCTCTTTCATCCTCTTTCATTCCTCCCTTTCCCTATCCTCCTCCTTTATTAGCTTGTGTTTTCCCTGATTATTAAGGTAGCACCTTGATGCTCTGTTACTCAGCTGAGCAGCAAGAAAAGGCTGAAGTTTTGTTACTGTTAATTTGTTTAGTTCAGGTGTGTGTGTGTGTGTGTGTGTGTGTGTGTGTGTGTGTGTGTAAAGCTACTTTAAAGCATGAGTATTAGCAGTGCTGGGGAATGTCATATGCATATATAGTTTCTGTGCTGTAATTTTGATTTTGGGGCTAGTAGTCGAATTTGATCTACCTTTAGCTTAATTTTGTACCAGTGGCTACAGCTAGACTCCTGCAGGAAAAAAAAAAAAATTGCCACACTCATTGCCACACTACCTGAAACCTGCAGAGCCATGGCCACTGAGACTTTGGGCTGAGTCAGAACTAGACTCCAGCACCAGGGCCTCCAAAGAGCAGCTGGCTGGGTCAGGCTGCGACTGCTTCTGCTCAGCCTGCTCAGAAAACAGAGAGGTGGGCAAGCAGGCAGGACAGCGCAGCTGGCACCAGCAGCCCATCCTGCTTTCCTCCCAGCACTGTAAACATAGCACTTCATGCACACCTGCTGCTCCAGGTGTGCATTAAGTATGCAGACCACTGTGAGGTGGCCTCTTCACAGAAATCAGCATACTGCCTGCAGTCCTACGCCTGCCTTTCTTACTAGTCTTATTTTTCCTGCTCTCAAAAAGACCTGATTGTCAGCATTTTCTGCAGCGCTATAAGCAGCAATCTGCTTATCTTCGAAACGCTCATGAAATTAGAGAAAGAAAACCATGCTGGTTCCCGTCTCTGAGCACCCAGGGCTCTGTGTCTGTAATTGGGTGACTGCCAGTGTGTCAGTGGCTGTAAGGTGCTGATGGTGTCTTCCTGGGTGTGCACTGTGGACACACACATGTCCTGCTCACAACAGGATGTGCCTCTGTTGTGTGGTGTGCTCTCCCTCTCCTCAGACCCATCTCTCTGCTCCCCAGATCAAGATGAATGCCATGATGGACACTCCTGAGCTTCCAGCCGTGTTTGATGGGGTGAAGCTGGCTGCAGTGGCTGCTGTGCTGTATGTGATTGTCCGGTGTTTGAACCTGAAGAGCCCCACAGCCCCACCTGACCTCTACTTTCAGGACTCAGGGCTGTCACGCTTCCTGCTCAAGTCCTGTCCTCTTCTGACCAAAGAGTGAGTAGACCATATGCCCTCCATATGCCAGCCTGCTGACCTGTCTGCCTCTGAGCGGTCTTCAGAGAAGACCCCTCTCTGGCTGCGGGGGAGCTCAGTGGTGGAGCGTGTACTTAACATGTGCTGTGTCCTGGATTTGGTTTCCAGTATCCCTTGTCCCCACAAATAGAACCTTTTAATATTGTGTCCTTAAAGCACTGATGAAAAACGGCCTTGTTGGTGTTAAAAAAAAAAAAAAACAGCCAGGTCTGATGGAAGCCTGGTGTTTAAATCCTGAAGGATATGAGAGAGAATCAAATCTTCATTTTCTGAAAGCATCTCGTCTTCCATAGTTTGGTGTTGTGATCCATGAGAAGGACCTTGCGAAGAGAGTAGTCATTTGTAGGCGAACATAGAAAACTTGACAATATTCTAGCCCTTTAGCTAATGCTCTGTTGCCAATTCTAGGAAAGAGGAACTATCCTTATCCAGAATAAGTGATCAACAAAAAGGCACAGACCTGTTAGTTGTATCTTCTCCTTGCTGTACTGGAAACTGCACAACCATTAGCTGAGAGCTGTCCCTTGAGGAGCATGGCTTCACCCCAATGGGCCAGCTGCTGCAAGGGCCATGTGTAAGTTTTGCTTCTGACAGAGGAAGCCATAGGGAATCTGTATTCTGGGTCACATACACTGTGTCATACAATGTAATGTAAAATCCCCTCTCCCCTTCTGCCCTGTGAGTGTCTTTTGACTACCTGCTTCGTTCACTCCCCATTAGTCTGAAGGCCCCCTCTTTGCCATTTGGGCTTCACTCTGTGCCTTTGCCAGCTCATTCCTCTCTCCTGCTGCACCTCGGAAGGGCAGCTGGCCATTCAGAGAGCTGTCTTTCTTTGTGTCCCCTCAATGTACGATTAGCAGGGTTTCTGGTACCTGGTGGGTAGTATCAGTAGAGCTTGTTCCTTTGCCCTCTTTTGGGCAAAGTGGGTGAATGATTCTCCCTTCCTAGCAGATAAATGGGCAACAGAAACATCTGAGTGTTTGGATTTTGCTTTGTCTAACTCACTGTCACAGGCCTTTAGACAGAGGTGAAGACTTTCCACTGTGAGCTTTGACATTTTTATGTTCTTATGTATTTTCCTCATCGTTGTTAAGAGTGATTTCACAGCACCATGTAAAGAAGGATCGTGCCTAATTCCAGTGGAGCATGGTGCGCCACGTAATGCCATCATATTGAGCCTGAAACTGACCCTGCTGAGGGACTTTACGTTGTGTGCCTCCACATCTTGGCACCAAAATAAACATGTACTATTTTTATTATGCAGTGTTCACAGTTAAAAGTCTGCTCTATTCCAGTCATGGTGACACATGCCTGTAATCCCAGTTATTCGGGAGACTGAGACAGGAGGATCTCAAATTTAAGCCCAACATGGGCAATTTAGCAAGACTCTGTTGCAAAATAAAAGTAAATTTAAAAGACTGGGGATGTAATTCAGTGATAGCGCGCTCTTGATTTAATCCCCAGAACTACCAAAAACAAACAAACAAACAAACAAAAAACAAAAAGAAAGAAAGAAACCTGCTCTGTAAAGGGTATGCATTGTAACTGGTTGAAAATTGTCCAGCATTTTTCTTACTTGTATTGTGGCTGTTTCTTTAATACTGTTTCTTTAATTTGGACTGCTTGGTGACCTTTTACCTACTTTCAGATTAAGTGGGATTCTCATTTTTAGAGAGCTTTTAAAAACCAAGCCATTTAGCCATGTGCAGTGTTGCATGTTTGTAATCCCAGCACTGAGGGAGGCTAAGTCAAGAGGATCACAAGTTTAAGCCCAGCCTGGACAATTTAGCAAGACCTTCCCAAAATAAATTTTTAAAATGGGCTAAGGATATAGCTTACTGTGAAGGCCTTGGGTTCAACACCCAATACCACACACACATACAACCACCAAGGTATTAAAAACCCTCAAGTTTATGCAGATGAGAATTAAATTTAGGGGCTGAGGATTTAGCTCAGCGGTATAAGCACCTGCTTTGCAAGCGGGCGGTCATGAGTTCGATCCCCAGTACCGATTAAAAAAAAAAAAAAAAAAGAGCCAGTGTTGCTTAGGAACTAGCCGTGGTTTCTGGTGGGCATGAAAAGACAAGTTCTCCACAACTATTTACTTCCCAGGTGTATCCCTTTGGTTTGTAGGACCAACCCTCATAGAGCATTTAGCAGTATTATGTAAGCAGCCAGCTCCCTCTGACTTGAAATGACAGATGACCAGAGGGCAAAGGGATTCTGCCTCTCTCATGTGTAACTAGCATCTATCTCACTTCTGATTCAGATTCTGATTAGGGACTAGCTGTTTCCTGTGTTCGTGTAGCACATTGGCAACATGTTTTCATGTTGCCGTCTCTCATCCGTATCACTGCATATAAAATGACGTTCTGCCATTTAATCCTCTTAAAAATGAAATCTCAGATTCATTTTTCTGTCATTTGAAGGATGAGGAGGCTGGGAGTGGCAGAGGAAACTGAATGCAAACTGGGGCCAGTTTCTCTTCTCATCCATGGAGAAGAGGATGGGGTGCTGTCCCTGGGTGGGTACAGGAGCTCAGGCTGGTGCCGGAAGAGGCCAGCCCAGAGGAGCAGCAGGAGCAGGGCTGGCCTGGGGGCGGCCTTTGATCTCCACATGACCTCTTTCTATTTCCATCACTCCAGTGGAAACCACTGTCCTTTGATGTTCTGTCTCTTGCCACATTTGCACAATGGCCTCTCAAGTGTTTGAAGCTGTTCTGGGTGCTGCTCTTGGAGCTTTGAAGCTGTTTTCCTAGAAGGAAGGCGGTCTGTGGCCTCACTAGCTTTCCTCCAGGCTGGAAGGTCAAGGTTCAGCTAAGTGATTTACAGCCAGCTGCCCCAAACTGCTTCTCTTGTTTCAGTGGCCCTGACTGCAAGCAGCCGGTTATTATAGTGTAGGTGCCGGGCAGAACATACCCTTGTCACCGCTCTGCAGCAGGAACTGGCTGGTGAACGGTGAAGATTAACAGCTTGCTGTGAGAGTAGGGATTCTTCTTTTTTGCCCATCTGAGCATGAAAGTCAGTTTTAAATCTGTTTTAAGATGATTGACCTAAAGATGCATCATAAATGTATCTTTTACTATCTGGAAGAAAACTTGGCTTTGGTGGGAGGATGTGCCTCTTGTTCATTTAGCAACAGATCAATATTTTCCTAACGATTTGTTTTTTGTTCTCAAGAAGTGTTTGCTTTTACTGGAATAAGCAGAACAAAGTTCAGTCATGAACTGGGAAAAATCTAGATGGTGATACAGATCTCCATAATAAATTTAATGGCATTTTTATTTTTATAAAGTAGAAAATAAAGCATGCAAAAGTGATTTATAATTGCACCCAAACATGTCATACCATTGCTATTTTGGTGATTATCTCTGTGGTTTTTGTTCTCTGTATATACAGTGTGTGCCCTCTACAGAATCAGTAGATAGTTTGCTTTCTATTTGTGTTGTTTTGTTTTGTTCTCATGATGTTAGGAATCAAACTTGGGGCACTGAGCACGCTAGGCAAGCACCCTACCATTGTGCTCTGTGCATCCCTAGCCCAGGGTGCTATGTACGTATTACTTGGTAACCAGTTTTAACACGTGGTAGGCCGTGAGCATTCACGCCTGCTGCAACCTCTCTTCTGACATTTGATTCTTAACAGCTTTTTAATTCTGTCATCTGTTCAAATCCCCTCGTGGCTTTGGTCACAGTGGTGTAGAGAAATTTGGAGTAGGATGCAAACCTAAGTCTTTTTCCTTCCAACTGGCCAGGGAACCCTGGACAAAGCACAGGCTCTGTGGCCCTCAGCTTCCTTCTCTATAAAATCAAACAGGATAAGCAATGCCCTTCAGTGCCAGCGCTGGCTGCTTCTGGCTCCCTTGCTTGGTTGGTAGCGTGATCAGATCTTCCTAGAGGTAGCACCCTGGGAGGGGGCCCTGCCTGCAGGCCAAGGGAAGAAGCTAAAGGGAAAGATTTTCTTGTGTATCTGTCTTCTCATAACCGTTCCCATCCTACATGCTCTGGGACAGGTTGGCACAGTCTCCACTGGGGTTTTTTACAGTCCTTTTCTGATCTATCCTGTATATACAGTAAAATGCACAAATTAACTATACAGCTCAGGACCTTTTACCTACGTGTATTCAGCTGTGGAATGTACCACTCCTGTGGCCTTTTGCAGGAGTGCCCCAGTCACTCCCCTGCCTGTGACCCACCCACCTGTCGGAATATCTCTTGAGTTGGCTTCCTGACACAGGCCGGCACCCAAGGCTTGCTGCAGTGTGAGACAAGCCTGCCTGCCTAGCTGATCACTTGTGACATTCTCATGGCGCCAGGAAGGTTGTTGTTCTCTGGCTTCTCCAAATCCCCTTCCCTCTCTAACAAAATACCTGTTGTCCTACAAGAAAAACCCAACCACAGCAGTCCTGAGAGGCTTTCCCTGCCTCATCCTTCAGCCGTGTGCCCACTGTGCCTTCTCTCTGCACGTCCCTCTGTGACCCCTTAGCACATTTCCTCTGGCTTTGTGACAATCCATGTCTGTGTCTTTTCCACATCGCTGGGGTACGTGTGCCCCAGATCAAGAACCACATACTTGGTGGGACAGAGCAGGATCCCTCGCAGTTCCCAAACCCAAGTACAGTATCGTCATTTCTCTTGTTTGCCATAAACAGGTGTAGGTGAGTGATGATCTCATTTTGGCTGGGCAGAAAAACTTCCCTGTCTCCAACTTGTTCAGTGGTGCCTGGGGAATCAGTGTGCTTTTAGCTCTCTCAGAGCTTTGTGTGTCTGAGGGTTCCACCCTGTCTCTGGAAGCAGGTGGATTTATTTACTTACCTATTCATTTGTTTTAAATTAAGCAGGGCAGCCTCCAGCACAGTGGCCTGCAGCCTCTGCCCTTCCCTGCAGGCCATGCTGAATTTTCTGTCACCAGATCTGTGTTGGAAAGTGATGATGGGCAGCAGGTGTCTGTCACTGGAACCTG